CATGAAACAAGAACTGGGTACGACATATATTAAAGAGAACAGTCAGCAAATTAAAAGGAATCTTTGAAATGTAAAGCTTACAAATCAAACACTCCATTAGAAGGGCAGAATGGTAACATAGACGAGACTTCCTAGAGACAGCGACGGGAAGATACAGAAGTGAGACAAAGGAGGGGAAAGATGAGGACGTTAGGGGTTCCTCCACGAAGCACAACATCTGGTTGATTAGGGTTCCAGAAGGAGAGAACAGAGAAAATGGAGGTCAGGAAATCATAAAGGGGTAAATCAAAAACTTTTCCAGGGCTGAAGAACATGAATTTCTGATTTGGAAGGGCAGGCCCTCAGCAAGGCACAGCGTAGTGAATCATCACCTCCACGCTTCCAGAAAGACAAATCCCAGGCGGCACACACACAATTGATGCCAACACAGTGGCGGAGCCCCCCACACCAGCCCTATAAGCAACAACAGAGCAACGGCTTTCAAGGGAGGGCCCCTGTAAAGTTCTGGGGAAGAGATCTCCATCTGGAGTTCTCTACCCAGCTAGACTATCACTCAGAGTGACAAAGAGTCTTCAGACAGGCAGGTCCCACAACACCTCTCCTACAAACCTTTTCCAGAAGGTACTGGAGGGCGGGTTCCAACAAAGCGAGAGTGTAAACTGAGAAGGGGAAGATGTGAGATCCAGGAAGCAAGAGGCCCAAGCCCAGAGAGCTGAGCAATGGACCCCTGAGCAAGGGAGGTGGGCCATCACTGTGTGACTGTAGCACAGCCAGGGTCCAAATAAACCGAACTGGAAGTGGCTCGGTTGGTTAAGTGTCCGACTCTTGGTTTTGGCTCAAGTCATGATCTCACGGTTTATGGGTTCGAGACCGGTGTCAGGCTGTGTGCAGAGAGCGCCAGAGCCTGCTTGGGATTCTGTCTCTCTCCCCCTCTCCCTGCCCCTCCCCCACTTGCTCTTGCACTCTCTCTCTCTCTCAAAAATAAATAAATAAACTTAAAAAAA